TCCCCCAAGAAACTTTATATGTGATTTTACTCATCACTCTGCATGAATGCAATTCAATATATGTGATGTTATCTGTCTGATATTGTTATCACGTTTAGACGTAGTGGTCAAGGAATAAATCAACAAATCATCTCTAAAAAGATGTACAAAATAAATATTTAAACAGCAATAATTAAGACCAGCAACGAACAACGGCAACTTAAAATTTCATAATCCCAACAATTCTTTATCTGTCAACAGTCAATTCATCGGAATCACCGCCCGATTTTTCGCGGTCTTGATCCAACGTGTTACAATCAATCCGTTAGTCGATTATATTACAATAACAAAAATCCGCTTTACACTTTTTGCTACTCTAATATGTAACTGCTAAAAGTATTTCTCTACCACGAGTACAACTCTTCCGATAATCTTCTCAAAATAACCAATAGCGAAAATTTAAACATTTTTATTTCAGTCTTACCATTTCTCGCAAAATCATTCTTATCAATTATCGACTCCAATTATAATTCCATTATCGCATTATAATTGGAGTCAATATCAATAACATGCTGTCGAGGAACAGGAAATAAAATTAACAATTAGACCCGTTACATGCAGTACTGCAATAAAAATTGTATACCGTCCGGTTAAATTTGGGTCGTTGACCTTGTAATTGTAATTGTATCATTTAAAAATATGTTAATAACTTTTATAATACGTTAAATTAGTACGCTCATCACTATGTGCTCATCGGTATAAACTCAAAGTGCAAAGATCAGAAAAGCCGAAACGAACAAGCAGTATCTAGAAACAATTGCAGTATCTAGTGCTCTAGTAGAATAATAGGATCCCAAGCCACTTGCTACAGTCACTTATGACTTATGACTTTGTCGCTTACCAACAATGATTAGGAGTGCAGCTTACGTCAGCATGAATACGCCAACGCAACAGCAATTACTAAGATTGAGACATCAACAAATATAAGACGCACAACTAATTATCGATTGTATCACATTCAGTTGAGATTTTCGACTTCATATTAAGGCTTTATTATGAGACATAAGCGTCAGGCTTCATTGTCATTATTAATTATATGTTACAAAACTATCGAAGATTTAGTAGAGATACAGACTTAACTAGTACCAACCAATAAGTTTGGCCACGCAGTGACGCAATTTCCGAGACGATTTATAAATTAATAATCTTGTGAGATAAGAGATGCCGATTGTGGAGATTGAATACCGGAAAGTGGACCGAAAATTAATTAATATCAATATCATGGAAAGTGTGAGACTGTGAGATGCCGTATAGTAAAGCGAGGAGCTAGAGAGAGTGGGAAGGCGGAAGCCACAGACATAAAAGAAAAAATGATGTAGGATGTAAAGTTATTATCAAGTTAAATTATTGAAAATAATTGTTCATTAGCCATTGTTATATTATAATATGTTGAACGATAATTAAAAATCAAAGCGGCAAGCTTTGAGCTTGCCGCTTTGCAGTTACTGTTGCATTGAATAAACTAGCACGACGAATCAATACATCCTTTGTTGTTTGTCCTTCCAATTAATCCGTCGTGAAATTTTAATTTCCATCTCCCTCAACTAAATCCTTACTTTACAAGTGCAAGTACCATTTTGCATTTTGATCTAGGCGCAGGTTATATTTCCGCCGAAAGCTTGTCCATTGTTAATTGACTAACCTGGCGCGCGCTACTTCGTTGCACTATTGATTCACAATGTCAATCCTTCGCAGCTCGGTGAGGCACAGTGGTGCATCTCGCCGATAGATACCGTGGTTGCGAGAAGAATTATTTGGTGCGTGGCGCGACCCAGTAGTGCATCGCGCTACAATATATAGCACTACTACTAGTACTACACTAACTACTTCGAAGAAATTTCGACGAGCAACATCCGTCAAGCCTTTAATATTTAATATATATAATATATATATTTTTATATACAATACAATAATGAATAATGATTTAAATAGGGGGTGCACGATAAAAAATAAACTTGCTCGGATTTTCAAATTTTGTACCATTGCACATTAAGTTTTTTAAAGACTGTGAGAATTTTCACAGTACCAAATTTAATTTGTCATCGGTTCCTAAACTTGAATCATGCTGAAAATTTGTCAGAACCTTCCCATCTTAATTGACGATGTCAATTCATCGCAGCTCGGTGCGGCTCAGTAGCGCATTTCTGTCGCTGTGAGAAGCCTCATTGAGTGCGCGGCGCGGCACAGTAATGCATCTCGCTACAACTTCCAATCATACTTAACTACCAAACCTAAATTAGTTGGGAGAGATTGGCCTTGATTAAGAGGTCTAAAAATGACAAAATAGGTATAAATTCGTAAATAACTCAAAATCAAACTCAAGCGCGCCCGCCGACACTCCACATTCATTTTAATTTTTAATTAAACGGGCAAGCTAAATAATTGTTTTTTTGCGTCATAACAAAAAATTACACGGCCGGTTGTTGACGGATGTTACTCGTCTAAATTTTTTCTAAGTAGCGCGCGCCGCTTTCTTCTCGACGGCAAGTGCTATGAAGTAACGCGCACCGGGCCAGATCATTAACAATTAACAATGGTCAAGGCCGGTTGGCATGTGGCATGGGCATGGATTTTTGCTGTTTGCGTGCGGGCGCGATCCAATCATCATATCAGCGATGATATTGGCTTTTAGAACATTTAAATTCAATTATATTTTACAAATTTGTTCATATTTTGTGAGTTTCCACCAAATATATAAACGCGTAGACACATGGCTATGTGAACTTGTTTAATATTTAGTTTCGCTTCGATATTACCGACCAGGTGTACCAATTTTTGTATTACGCAAAGCACTCTTTTCGAAATACTGTTTTTGACACATACTATGCAGACTTTGTAGCGCGATGCGTTACTGTGCCGCGCCGCGCACTCAATGAGGCTTCTTGCGCCGAGCTGAGATGAATTGACATCGTAAATTTTACCTGGGGACCCCAGGCTATTATGTTCATTAACATAGAGATTAGGCGGAATGACAGGCTGAGCGCGGCCCAGTAATGTCAATTAAACGCAAACTATGTTGACGAATCTCACGCGTCTAAATTTCTTTGAAGTACTAGTAACGCGCGCCGCTCTCTCCTTTACTTATATTGCTTGTGCGTTTCCCTAGCTTCTTGTCCGGCGTATTTGATATTTTTACTAATTCATTGTAAAACGTTGTATCACGTCGTGACCCCCACTGTAGGGTTTGAACGATACAGGGGGAGCCGCGCACTCTTGCGCGGCGGGTCATACAACGTATTATATGACAAGTAAAACAATATAGCAAATATGACTAAATACAAATATTTTATCAATAAATTTCTCAAGATCACGTTGAAATGGTTTAAATTAAAGTAAGAAATTTTTGGGAGAAATTTAAATAAATCGAAGGATTCAGCTGCTGTTAACCTATCTATGGGCATATGTGTACTACGTGATGCGATTGTTTTACAATGGCAGGTGAGCTACTGTGTACTGCAAGCGAGAGAGGGCTCTCGTTAGACAGGTACAAGATTGTACATCTCTGCTTTGGTGGCTTCACAGAGAATCTACGCTCACCATATTTAGAATTAAAGGATGGGACAATAGGCTTCAATGATTGACCATCTGAACATGTCTTGCTGATGTATTTTGGAAGGATACAAAATTCTTTGGCAGGTCACTTTCTCATTTGACCCTCGATCACAAATTTCCCGAACAATTCTTGTTTTTTCCTGATAGAATGGTGTGACTGTTTATGGCTGCTTCCATCCAAGTAAAGGAACTATTCTTTTTCTATTCAAGGAACTTGAGATAATGCTTTCTGCCATATAATGCCCTTCTTCTTTACAGATTTTGCTTGCTTCCCCAGCTACGAGTTTTTTTGTTGCTAATGAGTTTTTTTGTTGGTTATAATTCTGTCCATCCGATTTCCTATCCGCTTGTCTTCCTTATTTTTCCTGTTTTCAGTTGTGACAGAATCTGACCTTTAAGTAAACGAGACAGATATGCTTTTGTAAAAATGCCCCAAGAAGACTTTTTTGTTATGCACCGTTTAAGATCTTTTTTCAGGACTTTCTTCTTGTGACTGATATTTAGCTTACTTACTGACTTTGGGTGATCCTCGATCGAAATCCCATTCACTGTCTGCCTCCACACGTCTCGATCGCACATAACAGTTCAAAGGTCGTCAAACTGGAGCCCAGTGTCTCGAGCTACTACGTCCAGGAAGGTGAGTGGTCTCCTTCCACAGCTGGACTGGGCAAGTCGCCAGGGGAGGATACCCGTAGTATATTCCATGGTAATGGAAGAACTTTAAAGTTTTTCAAATTGTTGCTATAATTGATTTAAATAAAAAATTTGTTGTTTTCTTGACAGAGGAGAAAACTTGGTCAGAAGCTCTCATGCAATGCCCAGCAAATCTGGAACACCTTGACGCAACCACTGAGGTAATAGATGGAAGGTTGCCATAGATCTGCTTGAGGGTTGGATGCTTCTTCCAGCAATGAAAGAGCCAAGGTATTTAAAGTCATCAACATGTTTAATCTGGCGGCCTGAGATGGAATGTAGGTCGACAGTGTCAGGGATGTTGATGGTCATTTTCAAGGTCTGTCAGCAGAAGTTGGACTTGCTCCATGGTGTCTGTAATTAAGGCCAAATCATCAGCAAAGTCAAGGTCTGTGATTTTGACCGCAGGCACTCTTCGACTTTTCCTAGGCACAATGGTAAGACCGAATTCTTCACCCATGCAGCTTCTGAGGACATAGTCAAGGACGATAATGAAGAGAAAGGGTGCTAGAGTGTCCCCTTGAAGAACTCCAATAAGTGTCCTAAAAAAGTCAGAAACTAAGCTATATTTAGCTTAAATATAGCTTAGTTTCTAAGATTAATCATGAAGTATCTAATAAAACTAACTATACAGCTTTAACACAATTCTTTGTATCAGCTGTTATCCTTGCACGGATTTGGGATATCATTTAACCATTATATTTTCTTCTAGATGTTTTTGTTGTTCATTTTCCTGTCCCTTGCAACTCCATCAATTTCGGAGCCTGACGATGTGATTATACAAGTGCTATATAAACCCAAAGACTGCAAAGACATTGGGCAACATGGGGACGTTATGCATGTTCAGTATTTGGGACGATTTTTTGATAGCAAGAAAACGTTTGATTCCAGCTACCGTCGTAACAATGTGCCATTTTACTACACACTTGGCGTTGGTGGTGTCATTGAAGGGTACCAAATTGGAACAAAAAACATGTGTATCAACGAGCGACGTCGACTGATTGTACCCAGCAAATATGCTTATGGCAAGACAGGAACAGGTTGGTGATAGTTCAGAAGTAAAATGAATTTAATGAATGTCTGTCTTTGTTGTATTCCTATGAGAATAGCAAATTTCCACTCAAAGTAAAACTAATTATATCATTTTTCAAGGTTTAGGTGCACTATTATCAATCTCATGAGCATAACATAAAATATTTTCAGATAACATTCCTGGCTATTCCACCTTGATGTTTGATGTTCACCTCGTGCAAATCAATAAGTCCCCTCCAAGTTACCCAGTCCCTATTGATTTGCCAAAAGAAACTATTTCGGAAGGTAACCAGAGTTGTCAAAACCCTATAAAGATCGGTGACCTTGTCGAAATAACATTTATTGGAAGCCTACCAGATGGGAAAGTCTTTGACAATGGTACAATGACACCACTCAAGTTCATATTGGGTTCAGGACAGATACTGAAAGGCATTGAAGAAGGACTCGTTAATTTTTGCAAAGAAAGCAATATAATAATTGAGATACCACCTGCTAAAGCTTATGGTGACAGATGGGAAGGTCCGGTCCCTCAATGGTCATACGTTTTCTACAATGTCACTGTAACCAAGCACATTGTGCGAGATGAGATTGAGGATGGAGAAGCAAGCCTGCAATGTGAGAACCTTCACATTCCTTCTGACTGTGATGCAGGCTACAAAGTACAAGCTGGTGATTATGTGGAACTGTCATACAAAGTGATTAACAAAGAAAAGGAGGTTCTTGGAGACAGCGAAATAAGATATCCAGTTGGAAGAATGGTGATTGTTCCTGGATGGGATGTTGCTATTCTAGGCAGTTGTGTGGGGCAGCTCAAAATGTGCTGGATTCCTAGTTCTTTGGCACACAAATTGGGAACATCTCTGTTCTTAGCTATCCCAGAAAAAGGATTCTTTTCTGAATTGAAGGTTACCAAAATTTTGTTAACTGCTGACAACAGAGATAGTGTTGATCTGTTGGATGGAGAAAGCAAGGCCAGTGGAAATATTGTTAATGCTGACAATGGTCCTACTATTACCAAAACAGTTCTTGATACTGCACCAGCAGCCCACACTGAACTTTAGATGGATTGTAACCAGTAAAACCATGAACAACCTGTACTAAAAGGGAAATATTATTGTATATCATTTAGAAATAACTTCTAGTTAAAATACTGATCAGACTCAAGTATAATTCAATAATAATTCAGAAAGGCAATGTAAGACTTTTGTGAATTGCATGGTGCTCTCACTTATAGCATTAATTACAGCTTTGTAAACTCACGTTCTTTTATTTTGTATTTCTTTAAATTATTAGAATGCTTTTATAAATTTCATAACAAATTCTTATGGGGATTTTATTTTTGTAATGCATGCAGTATGAAACAAACTATTTTCATATATTTTGTAAATTTATAATGGGACTTTTATCATAAATTCATATCAATATTTTGGCTTAAAGATGGTATTGTAATATAATATTATTAATTGTGCTTTATACAGATTTAACATTTTTTTAATGAGTTGCCTTTCATTTTTCAATCCCTCAACTAAGCTGTTCTTATCTATAATTTAACAACAAGTGTTTGCTTATTTTATTAATGTGTCTAGCCATCATGCACATAGTTTATTAATACCTGAGATGATTGAATTATGGTAGGTTATCTTTAGATGTTCAATGAGATTTTATCAATGCGAAGTTCGCTATCTATCTAAAAACAATACAATCTGATTGGTTAATTACTGTTCATTCAGCAGGTAGGATGGATTGATATGAAAGTGTCAGAGATACCAGTTAAAGACCCGTTCCCAACTCCAAGGAGTGGTCATCGTTTAGTCGCAGTTCAAGACAAACTTGTGCTTTTCGGTGGCTACACACATAGACCTATTACTGGAGGAGAAATTAAGAAGGAAGTGTGGTGCTACAATGTCAATCCTGGATCTTGGAAACTTCTATACACATCGGAAGAAAACTTCCCTGCTTCAACAGCTTCCTGTGCTGTTATATCACATGGCACCAAAATTTTCGTTTTTGGAGGATCCGGGGTGAGTTTTGGTTTTTCAAATAGTGATAAGCTTCACATCTTAGATTTGGTGACTCTCAAATGGGAAGTTATAACGTTCAATGGAAACGTTATTGAAGGTGGCTATGGTCAAAGTATTTCAATATCAAGTGATGGGCATCTGTATATTTATGGTGGCTGTGACGGGTTTCATTACTTCAATACCATGAATAAGATATCCATGGATACTTGGCACAATTCAACTTATTACAGAAATGACTTTCTTGGTCGATACAGGCATGAATCTGTTGATCATAATGGGATGATAATGATCTTTGGAGGAGGATGTCCTCAACCAACCGAAGATTTAGGAACAATACCATTTTTCTGCACCAAAACGAACAGCTGGAAAGTTATGAAAGCAAAGTCAGGTCATAACCCTCCGGGTAGAGTGGCTCACTCCTGCAACAAAATAGGTAATTTCATCGTTGTAACCGGAGGACAAGCCCAAATAGAGACTCCAGCAGTAGGCACTCAAAATTTTGCTCTCAGTGATATCTGGTTTCTAGATCTTGTATCTTACATGTGGACACCTGTAAAGGCTACTCTTCCCAAAGGCATATTCTTTCACTCAGGAGCAGTTGGTGGAGACAACTGTTTGTACACCTTTGGAGGGTCTACTTACAATACACAGGGGTCTGTAGACCGGCTAAATGTTTTGTATAAAGTTAATATCTTTGTTCCTCCATTAGTTGAATTAGCTTGGAAAGTATTTCATCAGAACTTTAAGCACATACCAAGGTTAACCATGGTTAATCTTGGGGTACCGATTTATCTTGTTCACAGGGTTTAATTTACGAAGAATTGTGAACTTCTTTAGTGTGTTTAAGTACTTAACTACATTTTGGGTATTAGAATTATATTTGTCGCTTTCCAAATTTGATCATTTGCTATCACGTGCATATTGGACAGCGTTGGCAATTTTTTATAATGAATTTTTATGATTGATATAACTTGTAAATATAACATCTCTTGCTTTGTTCTGTTTGCTCTTTCTAACTGGTAAGTATTTGACGAGTAGTGAGTAGAATAGTTCACTATGCTATGGTAATTGACGAATTTTAGCCCTCATAAAATGATGGTTATGTGTTAAAATTAAATTCATAGAGATATTTGTTTTGTTTGTGTCAACTTTATACTGCATCCAGTTGGAACAGTGATTGTTCGAATTTTAATAAATTAAATCGTGAATATGCCGAAATTAAACTGTGAGATTTAGTATAATTTCAGAATACATCAAGCTTATTTTACATTCTTGTTCCAAAAACTAATTCCTATGAAACTTTAGAGCTATAATATCTTTATAAACAAAACTACACATTTACAGGATGGCCGACAGTGAATATAGGCCTCGACTGTTCATAGGTGGACTAAAAGGACCAGTTGACAAAGATGAACTGACCTCAGCATTTGCAGAGTTCGGGAACATCGTAGATGTTTGGGTAGCATACGATCCTCCAGGTTTTGCATTTGTGGAGTATGATAGCATGGAGTCAGCTAAAGCTGCTAAAGAAGCAATGCATCTCACTGACTTATTTGATACTCAGATAAGGTTTGTTTAATTTGTATTCTTTGGAAAATTTATGCGAAAAGTTTCTGTTCTAAGCATAATTTTTAATCGTCTTTAATCATTCTGTACCATTTGCATTGTTCAGTTAAGCCTTCCCAGATTCTATTTTATCATATCTAGGGTCGAGTTGACAAAGCACTCAAAAGGAGCCAGGCATGGGTCTGGTAAGACGATTGAACTTGGTGACAAACCTAGACTCTTTATTGGAGGTCTCAAAGAGGAGGTTGAGGACTCCCAGCTAAAAGAGCTGTTTGAGAACGTGGGACCTGTCACTGATGTGTTTGTTGCAAAAGGCAAAGGTCAGTCCGTCACATAACAACAAGTTTTCACTTACATAATATCCTGAGGCAAATTAAAAATAATTCTGACACAAGATATGATATAGTACGGTCACACCAGTTTTCATCAGGACTCTTAATTCTTATGTTGATGATATTATCCAGATGGTTTTCATTAAATAAAGTGATCCCTTTATTTAATTAATTTTACTTTCAGGATATGCTTTTGTTGAGTTTGGCAGCATGGCTCACGCCAAAAGAGCAATGTCAGAGTACGACCAGAGTGAACAGTGGGGGATGAGGATCAGAATAGAAATGTCAAACGCAAAGGGCTCTGGAGGTGGTGATCGTGGTGGCAGGGATGGTGGAAGAGACGGTGGTTATGGTGGAAGAGGAGGTGGTGGAAGAGGCGGTGGCAGGGGTCGTGGAAGAGGTGACAGAGGAGGGCGTGGTCGCGGGGGCCGTGGTGGAGATCGAGGTGGTAGATCAGCTCCTTATCCTCCCAGGGGAGGGGGACAAAGGTATAATTTGCTTTTGCGATGGTTTAAAATTCCTTTAAAATTTGTAACTGAGTTTCAGTTCAAAAAAAGTTTATGTTCAATAAACTAACATTTTTCTCTAGATCTTATTTCTATTGCTAATTAACTTGAGGTTAAACCTTATATCATTATCTAAATTCTTGTATCAAGATAAAACAGATTTGGTATTGCATACTATTTTATAATTAATAATAATGTTTATTATAATGATCCCCGGACATTGCAAGGAATGAATCTGAAATAAATTCACCTGCCGTTGATTTTAATGAAGTGCAGTAATCTTGAACTTAATGATAAAAAAGAATCATTAAACCTGGAAATTTATTTGTCGATGCTATATATAAATATTAATTCTAACAAAATTTTACCAGGCCTCCAGCGAGACGACCCCCACCCGCGTCGTATTACGATGAGGATGCTTATTATGCCCCCAGAGCGCCACCAGCGAGAGATCCTTATTACGATGATTACTATGCCCCTCCGCCTAGGGCTCCAAGGGATCCATATGGTGCTCCACCGCCGCGAAGGCCTGCTGCTGACCCGTATGCTGCTGATCCGTATGCAGCCCCGCCGGCCAGGCGATACCCTCCGCCTCCTGCTGCCAGTGCGCCTGCCAGAGATCCGTATTATGATGATCCCTACTATGCTGCCAGCTCGTATGCAGCCCCTCCACCTGCCAGGCCAGCTGCAAAATCAGATCCGTATGCAGCCGACCCTTATGCGAGAGCACCACCACCCGAGGCAGATCCTTATGCAGCAGCTCCTAGAGCAGACCCATATGCTCGCGCCGACCCATATGGAAGACCTGAGGCCCCTCCAGCGCGTGCTGCTGACCCTAGAGTTGCTGCTAAAGATCCATATGCTGCGGATCCTTATGCCAGAGATCCGTACAAGAGAGCCGCTGCAGATCCCTATGCTGCAGATCCGTATGCGCGGCCTGCCACTTTAGCCCCAGCTGCCCCCGCGGAGCGTGATCCATATGCCAGAGCTGCTGCGCCCCCAGCAGACCCGTATGCTAGAGCTCCCCCTCCTGATCCTTATGCCCGTTCTGCCGCACCTGATCCCTACGCCAGATCAGCTGCTCCAGATCCCTACGCTGCGGTTTAAAGTTAGATTCAGCACGATATTGTTACCATGTTACCAGTAGAACTTTAAATGATTAACAGTGCTATTATGATGTTATGTATACGACCATAATGTCCTCAAAAATATTTATATATTTTTTCAGTTCTGACGTTTAATTTATTTAGGAAGCAGATTATACCCAAGTTTCAATTAAATATGATTTAAATTACTGCTACTATTTTTGATGTAACCTGACTTACACTTTTATCAAAAATTCGTGAATTTTACCTGTCTACCAATGACTCTAGATGAGACTAGATGAGTAAATGTAATGAAATTATCCTAAGAGTAAATCTCTGACATTTCAGCAAACTTAGATTAGAATTTAAATAACATTTGAACTTGATAATTTGATTTAGAGCCGCGCTAGGCATTTCGGTTTTACTCTTGTATGATGTATTGGCATTTTATTATTTTACTACCAATAATGTTCACTAAAATAGGTGATGGCAAGGCTTTATGTGGGAAATTTGAACTCATCCATTACTAAACAGAAATTAGCGGACACATTTATCAAGTTTGGTCCTCTTGTGGACATATGGTACAACTCAGGTAAGAGCAATGCAGAATAAACAAAAAATATATAATCATAATTGTTATTTTAATTCCTTGAGAAACAAGAATTAGTTTGTATATTAAAAACGGAGAAAGTACTTTTTCTAAAGTCACCTTTTTCTCCAGAAAAGTGCTATGCATTTATCGAGTATGAGGTTCCGGGTGACGCTCACGATGCTATCAGCCAGCTTAACAAGACCCGCCTTTTAGGACTTGAACTAAAAGTGGAACTCACTAAATATAAACGTAACTCTAATAATGGTTCGATATTTTAAAGAAATATATCTCTATGTTTTAATAACTCATGAGATCAAAATGTGTAAAATCATTTTTGTTGAACAAATAATCGATTAAAAAATATGATCTTTCATTTTAAACCCATTTTCAGAAGACCCTCCAATGAATGGTGGTGGCATGGGAAATGACTTGAGGGCACGATTAGGTCCACCTGTTCACCAACCAAGGTAACAACCGTACTTTTAAACTTATAACTATTAGAGATTCCAATGTATTTCCATTTTCCATTTTCCATTTAGAATTAAAAGAAATTATTGCAGTATTGCACTTGCCAATTTCTAATTTCTCCTATTTTTTAAGTGGTTCCGGAAGAGGACCAAGGACAGAGTTTGACATGCGGCGACCACGATCCCCCACTCCTCCTCTTCCGCCTCCTCCCCCTCGAAACTTCAACAGTCCTCCCCCACAGCGCCGGTACTTCTCTCCTCCACGTGCTAGAAACCCACCCTTCAACCAGTCTTCTCCTCACAACATGCGAACTTCTCCTCCTCACGGAAACCCAGCTAGATCACATTCTCCCAACTTTAGATCACCTGTCAGAACAAGATCACCTCTGAGGGGGAGGTCACCTCCCCGTGGTAATTCACCTGTCTACAATAGACCTCCTGCAAGGGACGTTATGCCTCTAGGTCGCAGTAGATCACCTTTTCGTGGCAGATCACCACCGCGCGGGAGATCCCCTCCCAGGAACAGATCACCTATGATGATGGGTAGGGCTCCACCCCGCTCACCCTCTCCTCCTAGAGGTAGACCTAGGTCACCTGGACCTTCACGGGGACCATTTGATAACAGGCAAGGACCGCATAACAGACAGGGACCACATAATCCTCGTCCCCCTTTAGACGATAGATACTCTCCAGAATTTAATCCGGCTGTGTCTCCACCTCACCAGGCAGCAGGTCCTCCATCTCCTTCCAAAATAGACCTTTCTAAACCTCTCGACATCGGGCGAACTAAAACGGATGAACAACCTCCACCCCCTGTTTTTGACCCTACTAAGCCTCTGACTATCAGTTCGAACCGTCCTAAACCAGCCCCGATTGTTCAGCCAAACCGGCGTCCTCCGTATCAAACACAGCAGCCTCCCCAGAGGAATCAGCAGCCTCCTCAGAGGACACAACCACCTCCTCAGAGGACTCAGCAGCCTCCCCAGAGGACTCAGCAGCCTCCCCAGAGGACACAACCACCTCCTCAGAGGACTCAGCAGCCTCCCCAGAGGACTCAGCAGCCTCCCCAGAGGAAGGTAGAGCCACCGCCTCCACCCCAACAGAGACAAAGATCCAGATCACCTCTCAGAACTAGATACACTGATTACAGGGAGAATAACGCTGGTCGACGATTTGCATCTCCTCCAAGAAATAATGATCAAAGGCGTTCGCCTGGCCCTCCTCCAAGTCGAAATTTCGCTTCCAGATCTCCACGTGCAGGTCGAAACATTGCTTCAAGATCTCCGCCGATGCGAAACTTTTCCGCCAGATCTCCGCCTCCAAATCGTAATTTTAACACCAGATCTCCGCCTCCGAATCGTAATTTTGTCTCCAGGACACCACCTCCAAATCGTAATTTTAACACCAGATCCCCGCCTCCACCACGAAACTTTCCCTCACGGTCCCCACCTCCCATGCGAAACCAGCCCTCTAGATCCTTACCAGGAAGAGGGGCCCCACTGAGACGCTCCCCACTTCACAATACTGTATCTCCACCCCGGAACAACAACCCTGTCAGAGACCGGACACCCCCTGTTCGGTACAGCGACTACAGGGAAAACAAATTCAATAACAATAGACGTCCTCTGACTATTGGTAACCGTTTCAATGGTAGCGCGAGGAATTAATATGTTCAGCTGTTCTTCTCGAGTGACAACATTCATCTGACCTGATCCAACGTTTCATTATATTATCGTTAATTGCGTTTGTTTTCGGAGTTTTTTTTTTGAAGAATTACTGAATAAAGACCTGCTGTTCCAGACTCAATTTAACCGAGATGTATTATTTGGCGGGTTACGCTGTTTTTGCGAAATTTGTCTATGTTTTCATCCCCTCTGCGTAGTACAACTGAAGATCACGAAACATTTATTCATCAGACTTCAGATAAAGGATAAAAATGTAAAGGATTTAAAACTGTTTTCGTATAATATGATAGTCACTGTTTTGCAAGTAAAGCGGAATGGTTTTCGCATGATTGGCAGTTTAAGATTTTAGGGAAACTGGTATTTTATTTGCCTGAGTCCACATAAGCATGTAAAGAATTCAGCTGCCAAGAAAGTCAGTAACTAAATTTAACCTGCTGTCGAGTGGATGTACGACACGTCTATGGAATGTTGACCAGAAATTAAAGTTTCATTTACTTTCGTTTTAATGATACTAATTCATAGCAATTTGGTACTCGGCCTTGCACACGTTAAAGTTATCCTTTCAAAGACTAATTCTAAGTTTAAAGACCACACGATCAGACATATTAATTAACACAATGTTTTCTCCACATTTTACCTTTAAACTCTGAGCTGTGATTGATTGGTTTTTGTGATGATTGTACATTGCTAGTAATAACTCTGACATAAAATATTTTTATAAATTAGATCTTGATTTTGACACATTTTCTCCAGAGAAAGTTGCAAAATATTATTGATTTTACAAATTTGAGACAATTTGGGCCATATTGCTAAGCAATCGGGCTAGGTTTTACCGTTTTAGAAGGATTATTTGCAGTTTAAATATCAAATTACTACAATTATTGTAATAAACATGTGCCTTGAGTTGACTTTCTTTCTGACTCAGAATGTGCAATTCTAGTACATTGAGTGTAAAAACAAATTACTTGTAAATAAAAAGTAAAAACAAAAGAAGAAGTAAAATCGGTATTTGAAGCTGCAAGTATTGGGGCTGACAAGCTCCAACGGCTCAACGCAGGCGACATGTTTATTAGGGTTCAGTAACCGAGGCTAAACTGTGATTAAATACTGTTAGTTTGCATGTTGTATTCCTATTATACTTGGGTATAATAATGATGATGCTTTTATTATAATAGATGGATGGAATGATTTTTGTTTTAAGAACATTTTTGCGCTCGAAGCTTAACCGTTAGTTTTGATTTACTGCTGTTTTTGAATGTGATAGTATTTTAACTTTTATGGGATCATATTGGATGAAAAAGTGAAGGCATGCCATAAATTTAGTAAAGTCGTTTTTTTTGAGAAATTGACGAACTTTGAGCTCTGGTTTTATTCAGTTTTACTTTATTTAGGGGTGTTTACTTCACGTATGATATAATGATATGTTAATCTTTGATGTTATTTAGTATTTATTGCTGTAAAATACTTAATTTGCTTAATTTCGACAGAGTAAGACTCATCCCTCGCCTCGTGTTTTAACTTTTATGACATTCTCAACATTCCTATTTTATTCTCTCTATGAAAATTCATGATCTTGATTTTCCCGTGTCTATTTTATCCTCATTTAGATATTATCATGTGTTGTGGTAATCACACTTTAATAAACAACCCTTTTTTAGGAACTTGGAATGTCTCATCACCCTCATGGCCCTCCTTATGGACATGGACCGCCCTCTAACTTTGGACCTCCACCTCCTGGGCAAGGTTTCTATCCGGGTCCTCCTGGCCACCCTTCTCACGGACCTCCTCCTCCTCCTCATCTAAGTAGCCATGGTTACCCGCCCCCTCAACAGTACGGATATGAGGCTGATCCACAATATGGAGCTGCTCCTGGTACTTACTACTCGGAACCTGCTACATACAATACACCTGCTACTTGTGGTCCACCACCTGTTAACCCCTCAGCACCTCCTGCTAGTGGTAAACCTGCATATGTACCAAGTTATAGCTATCCAACTGTACCTACTCCTCATTACTCAAAACCTGTACCTACCCCTCAACCTCGCTCTTACAACAAACCTGTTCCTGCTCCCGCTCCAGTGGTAGCTCCTGCTCCAGTGGTAGCTCCTGCTCCTGGTCCACATCACCGCCATCCTCCCCATGGTAACGTGGTAGCTGATGTAGTAGGGGGGATAGTGCACGCTCCAGCCAGACTAGTTCACGGAGTGGTGGGTGGTATTATGGGGGGTATACTAGGGCACCCTGACAAACTTCCTCACGGAGCCCCACCTCCTCATAGGCGTCACCATTAGGTGTGTTCTTTACTGGGTGATTGGGTCGATTATGTTGTCAGCAATATCATGGTGATTGATAGTTTGGGGTTTGATATATGGATGTAAAATTGATTCGGACAGTTGGGGTATGGATGATTTAATAGCGATTAAATCTCAATTTATAACTTTTAAAAAATTAGTGTTACATTTAACATTTATAAATTCTGGTTATTCGGTTTTGTAAATTTCGTAAATTGTTTTATAATCTGATCCAAACTCAGATTTAATGGATATTGTGTAAGTATTATATTTAAATTATACTTACTTTGATATTGATTTGATTAAATTTAGCCATAGAATATATTATGCGACATTATTAAATTAATTATCAAGAATAGCACAGAATTACGTTTTTTAGAGTTAACAGTTTAATTATATTATAGCTTAATCTTGTATTTTGACAATTTAAATGAAATTGTAATTTTGTTATTATCATATATATTGAAATTTAGATGTTTTTGAACGGGTTGACTAATAATATTTCTGTTATTTATAAATGTTTGTTATTTAGTGATGATGTATTTTGAAATTTGTATTCCGTGTACCAATAAATTTTACTTGTTTAATTTCTTCATTCTCTGAAAATCCTTTACTTCTGAATCTCGTTGTCAATTAATCGAACTAATTTGAATTCAAGGACCTGAAGGTAGTTACACCACATTTGTTGTTAATTATGACATCATCTCATTGTTAACGTTCAGTGCTCTCGCTTATTTATGATCATATTTTATGCAGTTGCGTGTGTTGTTGTTGTAATTGCATTTTACGTGATCATCAGGGTATTATACTGATTTATATAAAATGAACGCAGCTCTTACATGTAAGGATGAACAGCATATTATTACGGTATGCCAAATATGGCACCCCCAGCTCAACTATCGAAGTAGCAAGACAAGCCCTCAACTCCAAACTGTCAGCTAATCAAATTCTACTGAAATTTCTTGCAGCCCCTATAAACCCGTCCGACTACAACCAAATAGAGGGGAAATACCCGATAAAACCTGAGCTACCCGCTGTTGGAGGGAACGAAGGTTCTGCAACTGTGTTGGAAGTCGGCAGCAATATAAAGAGTGTGAGTCCTGGAGACACTGTTATTCCTGCGTATGCAGGGTTTGGAACCTGGAGATCACACTGTGTCACAGATGAAGGGTCTGTCAAGAAGATCCCAGACAATTTGTCTGCTGCAGCGTCTGCCATGTTAGCAGTGAACCCTTGCACAGCGTATAGAATGATCGAGGATTTTCAGAAGCCACCAAAAGGAGGCTGGATTATACAGAACGGCGCAAACAGCGGGGTTGGCAGAGCGGTTATACAGCTGTCTAAAGCTCAAGGTATCAGAACCGTTAACATTATCAGAGATAAAGAAGGAGCTGAGAAGGTTAAAGCTGAGTTGCTATCTGTGGGGGGAGATGCAGTGTTCACCTCTTCTCAAAGAGGTGAAATAGAGGAGTTCTGTAGGGAGAACACCCCACGTTTAGCGCTGAACATGGTCGGTGGTAGGGACACTGTCCAGCTGCTGAAGTGTTTGGGCGAGCAGAGCAGTCTTGTTACATATGGAGCTATGAGTAACAGTCCCATGTCGGTTCCGTTTGGGTTGCAGGTATTTAAAGACATTACACTCCACAGCTACTGGATGACAAGGTGGACTAATAAACATGCCCGGACAGAGTCAGAGGATGAGATGTTTGGGAAGCTTGCGGAGTATTTTCAGACAGGGGAGATGGTTCCAACGCCCCATAGGGAGAATTCTTTTTATGACTATTCGGATGCTCTTGATAATGCTTTCAAGTTGAAGCAGTTGTTTGTAGTCGATAAGACTTTGGGTGATTCTAGGTACCAAAATTAACTTACATCCAGAAAGCAAAGGTCGAAGACCGACAGACAATCTGCGAGGAAATTTTAGGCTTTGGAGTAAATTTTAAGAAGACCTGAACTGTTTTTAAAGGCTTAAGAACATTTTTGGAGGAAACATTTGACTGAAAAATTTAAAACTTTCTGGATGTGGGATAATTAATGAGATTGATTTTGAATGTGATATGTTGATATGTTGATATAGTTCTATATTTGGCTTAAATATTTGCCTCTGAAAAGAAAAGTTTTAGGCCAATCGGGCCAATCCACGCGAATAAGAATCGTAATCTCGAATCCAATTATATTCTGTTGAATAGATATTCTTCTTTTTATTTCAGCTCGATCAGTATTAATATGGGAATGTTAAATACGACAAAAAAAATTAACAGCCAATTTTATTCTTAGTTACGCAATGAAACCCTGAAGAATTGAAGATAATCAGTCTCTACTCTTGATTAACGTTAGAAGACATCGAAAGAAAGGATTTATCACCCCACAAAAACTAAACGCTATGTTTCACTACATCAAGAGGCTTCTAACTTTCCTAATTTCGTTGATTAAGAAAATCTGCAGAAAGAACCACAAAGACACTCCTTTGCTGCCGAGTGCTTTAAAGTCAAACAGCAAATTCGATAAAGGAGATGTAAGTATATTACACAAGTTTTAAGTCCGCATCATTTGTTTTCCTTATGTTAAAAAAAAAGTCTTATTATGAATAAATGTTTAAAAACTACATAACACACCAAAAAATCAAATCTGAACTATGCAAGCCGTTGCAAAACACTCTTAACTAAAAAAATCTATTCCCAGGAGAAGTGGGATGACTGGGAGCCTATGACTGGTGTACAAATAGATAAGAAAAACGAAGAAACAGAAGAGGAACCTCCCCAAGTAGATTTCTTCGCGGACATGGTCCCCGAGTTCAAGCAACCAGCTCAGATAAGGATAAGGAGTACCAGTAATGACGTAGTACCACAAACCTCAGCCAGTTCTAGGCTTACTGTTGATACTAGCTTTGATGTGAGTGTTAATAGTTAATAGTTAAATGTAAAATGTTTACAGTATGTACTGAAGGGGTATCCTAGGAAGTTTCTTGAACTATTAACAGGTAACCCTCCTCATTTAACCCTCAATCAAGTTTCCATTCCAATCATTGAATCATTCGGCTGAGTTGCCTGAAGAGATCGCATAGATCCATTGGAGTGTGTAAAAGTGGCCGCTAACTCTCTTTGCTCTATGAGGGAGATGAGGATTATATATGTTTGGCTGGCATAAATATTGTAAAACCATAAGTTTTATAAAATGCTCGTTATTTTATTCTGTTAAGCAGCGTCTCCACTAAATGCTAAATCCTTATTTACAGCCTTATTTCAACACAAACTAAATATAAGATAGATTAATAATTAATTAATTATTTTCTTATTAAAAAAGTTCAGGTCTTCAATTTGTATTATCTTAGGTAGGACTAGTAGCTGGAGGAGTAGGACTGGGAGAGCTTGCAGACTCGGAACCAGGGGGCTGGGGAGAGGACGAGACTCTTGATGATTCAGAGATTATCGCTGTTAAGAATGAAGCTACCAAGAAGAAAAGAGCCTCGGAAAGGGAAAAGCGACGGAAAGAAAAGGAACGTTCTAGTAAATTATCCTGAGAATCTGTCCAGAAAGGGGCAGATTGTTATATTTTTGCATGAATTTCAGACTTGAAAATATATTTAATATTTTTAACAGCTTTATATGAGGATCCAACTGGTTTGGTTTTTGGATTGATTGAAAGTTGTGGGGGTATTTAATCTTGTGAATACTGCACTGTGTTTGAGTATTATTGGGTAAACCATTTGTATAATGTTTATGTAACTCTTATTCATTTAGAAATTGAAATTAAAATCGAGATTTTACCACGTTTGACTATTAACTGTGAAACTATGTTCTAATTTCTTTTGGTCCAGATGAGCTAAAATAAAGAGCATTTTGAGATTTGATCCTATACCTAATTTGTTACCCCAGCTTAGTTTTATGGCTACAAATACAAGGTCATGATATTAAGGTTGGTCCTTATTACAGGCTTGCCCATTAAGGTTACTGCTGAAGATTCAGTTTCAGTTAAGGATAATTTGAGCATTAGGACAGAGAAGATGTGAAAGTTTTGCCAATGAATTGCTTTCCCGCGTAAATAGCCTTGTGGTTTACACTTTCAAAATCTTGTTAATATCGATGATATATATATGCATTATGCATATTATGTAATATGCATGTTTTAACACAGAAGTCTTCAGTGAGGCAAATATGTCATGAAGTCGTAACATGAAGACAAGACACACTGAGTTTTCTATTGACGACGATTCCAGAGACTCTATAGATGTTGTGAGTTTAAAAAGATTTCCATTTAACCTTGGTGAAAATTTAAATATGTGAAATTTATTTAAGAACGTGAAAAGAACTTAATTCCAGCGTATGAGCTTATCGTTGTGTTTTCAGGCCGCAGCAATTGAGACTAGAAGATTTACAAGATCTCGTTCACAAGCACTAACTTCATCTCCCAGAGGTTGGTCTCTATTTAATGTATAGCTGTTAACGTAATAGTTTGTATGAGTGGCAGCCTTGTTAATGATTGATCTACAGGTTTAGGAATGGAGTTGATCAAGATTACTGCACTTAATCCACGTGATTATTGGAATGAACACAAACAGCTCAATCTGTGCCACGTTGGAAGGCACACATAGTTAATGTTTGGACTTCAGCGTTAACGGGTGATACTCGTAAAATATCTGTTCCAACGACGAGTCCAACTCGGCGCGCGTCCTGGTAGGTTGTAAACCTACAAACTTCAGCGTCTGAAATAAAACGGAAATTTTAATGGGTCCCTGTTTTGCTTAGTCGTTTTGGTAACGCGCGGAGCCATTCTTGTGCTTCAATATGGTACAAAATCATTTAGTTTATGCGCGTTCCAGCGGCGCGCGCCGGTCAATTGGCAAACCATATTTTGTATCCGACCTTCAAATGACCACTGTATTAATAAAGCCGAAGTTTATTATTTCGGTATAATCGATCACTGTTGTATTTCAGTTATATTGAGACAGAGAAGGCACCAAATAGACAGATATATGAGTCCTAGGCTTGTAGTAACAAGATCAAAGCGCAAGAAATACAGCAGTTATCCTGATATTGAGTATGCTGCCGCTAAACGTACCAAACAGAATAGTAACAACAGCAACCAAGAGAACCACCCGAATCAAGAGGAGGTTGGTAGAGCGTTTTGTATTTAGGAGCCTAACGATAATTATTTACTGGATTTGATCGTCTGCATTAAATACGGAGTAAATGTCTTAGAATTACACAAATTATGTCGTCTGAGTTTTAACCGAAGCAATCCGACACGATAATACGTAAGCAATGGAACATAAACGAAACTAATTACACAAGTTACTGATCACTCACTTCTCACAATCACCCTCATGAAAAACGGGTCGTTTACGTTAGGGTTTTGCTATTTTCTGGGATAAGGTTTCTGGTAATTCTGAGAAAATTGGAGATGATGTCCAAGTGTAGAGCTGTCCATACATGTGAGATTTTAATGTTAGAATATCTTATTAATGCAAGTTATTTTCTGCTACTTACTGCGGAAAAGCAATCATATTAGTAGAACGTGGTCTTCACATAAGTGCATTTCGCTCTACTTGGATGATAGGTAACCTTGCGTTATGTGTCCGTTGAAAGATTAACGTATTTAGATTTAAAGATAATTTAGAGGTGGGTCTAACAGTTCTGAGCGGCCATAAATAAAATAGTGTATAAAATTTTGTTCAACTTCGGCTTGACATCGCTATACGCAATTTATTTAAAAAAGATCAGATTTTTCCATGGTGATCAAAGGATGACATAAAGCAGTCTTGGTGTGGCTAGAGTATTTGAGGTGTGCCAAAAACTTGTTTTCACAGGTTTCTCGGTTCTCGTTTTTCTGCGGTTTCAATGCCACAACATTAGCTATTTATTTTCACCTACCCTGATAACCGTTATCAACACCCTGCCTCATGTTAACTTAATGTTTCTCATCACGCAGATCTTCTGACGTTGCTTGATATGTCATTAGGATAACAATACCATTATACCACTGTGGTAATGATCGGATAATTGGATTGTACTAATGAGATTTCTGCAGCACTGATCATATGTTTTGTAAACAAGGTAACCGATCACTTAAGTTCAGGGATCACCTTTTGATTGTTTTTTTATTTCACTAGTCTGATCGGTTTGTTGGCATACATTTTAGTGGAAATTGAGAAGTCAAAATATCCGATAACATTTTAAAGCTAAAGTTTTCATTTTGAATAATTTCGACACTACTGCGTATAGTAGTAATAATTGAGATTCTTTTAATGTACTAAGTAATTAACGAATACTCAGTCCAAACAACTAATTATTAACAACTATGGCTTATTTTGTTAAACTATGTTGCACCCCTTTGTGCCCTATACAGTAGAGTACACTTCATCAATTTGTTTCACACCTCTGTGATAATATCGTATGGGGCTGCAAGGCTAAATATCTGAAAGTGAAATTTTAGCCGTTTTATTAGTATCGCCAAACTTACTTTCCCTTGTTGTGTTGTTGTGTCAGAGGCTTTTAACAGTTCAGTTTAACAACAGATTTTGATACCTAATTTCGGTAGCGGATGTTGTATATTGGGTGAATTCCAACCTTCATAATCCATATAACATCTGGAGTTGGCTTTGTCTCACGAGAACAAAATATCACTTCTAATTTCATCTTTTTTGTTTAAGTGTGCTAACTGCTAGTTGCATCCAATCTGTAAGGTTGTACCATAGAAATTCTCAGTCGAAGCTCCTAGTTTGTGAGGCAACCATATTTACCATACTTACCATACTTACCATACTTACCATACTTACCATACTTACCATACTTACCATACTTACCATACTTACCATACTTACCATACTTACCATACTTACCATACTTACCATACTTACCATACTTACCATACTTACCATACTTACCATACTTACCATACTTACCATACTCACCATACTTACCATACTCACCATACTTACCATACTTACCATACCTACCATACTTACCATACTTACCATACTTACCATACCTACCATACCTACCATACCTACCATACCTACCATACCTACCATACCTACCATACTTACCATACTTGGGGGGGGGGGGGGGGGGCAACCATATTAAAGTATATTAAAGTATATCCCCGGGTCAAAATCGGAAAAAATCCTACATTTTAATATACTTTAATATACCTACAATTAGTAGATTAGAAGATAAGCCAGTTGCTAGTCCCCTGAACTCATACTTCATATATTTTGGCTCATAAATTGGTTAAGTATCAATATCTTTGAACAAGACTAACTTTACATGAAAGGTAAATCTAATCCATACATTAAATAAAACAAAATTTTTCACATAATTTTTTATAATGTAGGTATATTAAAGTATATTAAAGTATATTAAAGTATATCCCGGGTCAAAATTGGAAAAAAAAACCTACATTTTAATATACTTTAATATGGTTCAAAATTTTAATGGAGAAAATGTAGGTATATTAAAGTATATTAAAGTACATTAAAGTATATTAAAGTATGTTAAAGTATATTAAAGTATAGGGGGGGGGGGGGGGGGGGGGGGGGGGGGGGTCCAACCCGATGTCCGATATGAGGGTTGATGAGGCCAAAATCGGAATCGGAAAAATCGGAAAATTGAGAAATTTACAGAATCGATCTCTAAAACCTCTCAGAAGTGATATAATTCAACCAGAACCCCTACATATGCTATATTTTTATGAGAAAACGAACCAATTGGACATTCCAATAGTATGTTTTATGTGTTTTTCCACTGCAGGGGCTAGTATGCTCACTACAAGTTGGAGTTGTCATGTACTCCCAGACCCAGGTGCTTTGGCCTCTTGACGTGAGATCGATTGTTTCTGCTCATTAATTTTATCCCTGTTACTTGTTATTATGTATTAGTACAACACTAGGTACCGGGTTATATTTTGTCATTTTGTCCTCCTCCTCCTCCTCACCCTCCTCACCCTCCTCCTCAGTCCCCTCCTCCTCAGTCCTACTCCCAGTCCTCCTCCTTCTCCTTCTCCTTCTCCTCCTCCTCCTCCTCCACCTCCTCATTTCTCCTCCTCATCCTCCTCGTTCTCCTGCCCATCAGCCCTCCTCAGTCCCCCTCATAGTCGTCCTCCTCCTCCTGACTCCTCCTCCTCATCCTCATCAGTCCTCTTCCTCAGTCCTCCACTAGTCCTCCTCTTCCTCCTCCTGAGTCCTCCTCCTCTTCCTCCTCCTGAGTCCTCCTCCTCTGGAGTCCTCCTCCTGAGTCATCCTCATCCTCCTCCTGCTCATTCTCCTCCTTATCCTCCTCCTCCTGAGTCCTCCTCATCATCCTCCTCATTCTCCTCCTTATCCTCCTCCTCCTCAGTCCTCCTCCTCCTCATCCTCCTCCTCCTTCTCTTCCTTCTCCTCCTTATCAGTCCTCCTCCTCAGTCGTCCTCCTTCTCTTTCTTAGCCCTTGTCCTCATCCTCCTAGTCCTCGTCCTTAGTCCTCGTCCTCATCCTCCTCAGTCTTCCTCCTCAGTCCTCCTCCTCCTCCTCAGTCTCCTCCTCCTCATCCTCCTCCTCAGCCCTCCTCATCCTCTTCAGTCCTCTTCCTCAGTCCTCATCTTCTTCCTCCTCAGTCCTCCTCCTCCTCAGTCCCCAGTCCTCCCCCTACTCGTCAGTCCTCCTCCTCTTCTTCCTCCTCATCTTCCTCTTCCTCCTCAGTCGTTCTCCTCCTCGTCAGTCCTCCCCCTCCTCCTCAGTCCTCCCCCAGTCCTCCTCCTCATCAGTCCTCCCCAGTCCTCCTTCTCCTCCTCATCATCCTCAGTCCTCCTCCTCATCATCCTCCTCAGTCCTCCCCCAGTCCTCCTCTTCCTCAGTCCTCCCCCAGCTCTCCTTCTCCTCCTCCTCATCCTCAGTCCTCCTCCTTCTCCTTCTTGTCAGTCCTCCTCCTCAGTCTTCCTCCTCGTCCTCGCTCTCGTCCTCCTCCTCAGTCCTCCTCGTCCTTAGTCCTCCTCGTCCTCATCCTCCCCGTCCTCAGTCCTCCTCCTTCTCCTCCTTCTCGTCTTCCTCCTCCTCCTCCTCCTCACCAATCCTGCTCCTCTTCCTCAGTCCTCCCTCTCCTCTTCAGTCCTCCTCCTCCTCAGTCCTCCTCGGTCCTTCTCCTCCTCCCCAGTCCTCCCCAGTCATCCTCTTTCTCCTCAGTCTTCCTCCTCTTCCTCAGTTCTCCTCCTCATCCTCCTCCTTCTCCTCTTCCTTCTCCTTCTAATCAGTCCTCCTCCTCAGTCGTCCTCCTCCTCGTCCTTAGTCCTCGTCCTCATCCTCATCGTCCTCATTGTCCTAGTCCTCGTCCTGGTCCTCCTCAGTCTTCCTCCTCTGTCCTCCTTCACCTCAGTCCTCCTCCTCCTTCTCCTTCTTATCAGTCCTCCTCCTCAGTCCTCGTCCTCGCTCTCGTCCTCGTCCTCGTCCTCGTCCTCGTCCTCAGTCCTCCTCGTCTTTAGCCCTCGCGTCCTCTTAGTCCTCCTCCTCCCCGTCCTCAGTCCTCCTCTTCCTCCTCTTCCTCCTCACCAATCCTACTCCTCTTCCGCAGTCCTCCCTCTCCTCTTCAGTCCTCCTCCTCCTCAGTCCACCTCCTCCTCCTCAGTCTTCTAAAATGTTTTTAAACGCATGTGAGTCTGTAACATATTGACATGTTACTGTTACTGACTCAAAATGTGCTGTAGAGTTTTTTTGTTTAACATAGTTTTACTCTCCAGTACTATGGAAAAGTTGTTACATGATTTTTTTTATTAAATACTTTTCAAATTTTACAGAGTACAGCAATAGATGAATATAAAATAGAATCGTTCAAAATATCGCCCCCATCTGTAAAATATGATGGGCACCCAAACACGGTAAACACATAGTGAACTATGTCCGCAGTAACTTGGACCCATTACATCGAATTAATCTAAATCCAAAAATTTATGAAAAACTATTTAATAACAAACATATCCATGGTGAATAACTGTGGATATATAGTCAAAATTTGTATTTCAATACGTCAAATTCCAGATACATTAGATACAGGTCTGAAATGGTCATTAATGTGTGAGAAGGTGTGCGGGTGAAGTGTGATATGATGTTGAAAGTATAGGAAGGTAGATACAAAAATTAATAAA